GCATCCTGGCACGCCCGACTCCCACCAGGAAAGGGACCTTGTTTACAAGCAGTTCTGTCCGCCTCTGTGGTGTACTGTTTTCTAGGCAAAAAATATCTGTCTGTTGTACTGTATAGCCTTTAAATGCACTCCAGGGATGAGACTTTTAAGAAATGCATCCTGCTTCTGCAACCCTAGAGAGTACTGGGGGGAAAAAAAGATTAAAATCCCGAAGTACTCATCAGTGTTTGAGGGGTGGAGCTAAACAGCTTTTCTTGTTCCTGGATTAAGCGCTACATAAGCAACAATGTATCTTTTCTGTGTTCAAAATAAATATATCGTATCAATAAAAATGTTGCAAGAAATAACATTCTCAAAGAGTGCATGGACTGCAGGAGGGGGAGTGGTGCAGGGCAGCGGGTGGGCTCGCACCATCTGACAAAACAAACAGCAGCAAACTGAAATATCTTATTTCCCCCAAGATGGGCAGCCCTGGAAGTGTCACTTTCCTATTGACATGGATATTTGGCAAGTCGGTGCCTTACACGAGTTCCTTTTTTTTTCTTAACCTCACTGAAACCCGACATCCTCTCTCAGAGACTTGTCCAGCGTAAACATCACCAAGACAGGCCATAAGTTTTGGACTTGACTCCGGGAACACCAGGGACTGCACATCTTCCTTTCACAGCGGTTGACTCTCAGCACCCTGATGGCTTCTTTAACTCCGAGAAAAGGGGGGGGGGGGGAGAATTTGTAATTGGACTGAAGTGAGTTGTTTCCTTTTCCTTGAAAAGATTCTTTCCCGTGCTCTCAGCTTTGGTGGTTGGTCCCTTGGCTGACAGAGGCTGGTTCCCTTCCACTGTCATCCTGCCCTCCCACTCAGACTCAAGCGGCCTCCACCAGCATAGTCCTAGACCCCTGAACGCCCTGAAAGCGGGTCGGTCGATCCTGAGGGAAGGCCAGGTCCTAGCCGTCCTGCATCCAGTCCAAGCCCACACTGCCACCTGCTGGCTGCCTGCTGTCAGTGCTCAAAGCAAACACGTCGGGCCCCTGGAGAGGAGCACTTCCCTTCTCCCACTTCCAAATCTACTGACCGCGGACATTAGCAGTTGGAGACAGGACTTGGTTGGGTTTTGAGCTGGTCTGCCACCTTTGCAATGTTCCATGAGGTTTAACCACTCAAGCATTCCATTTTCAGGAGTCCCTCCTGCTCATCAGTTTCTCTCTCTGGGCACAACAGCCTGATGCCCTAAGTAAGCCCATCTCCCCGTATGCAAAATAATTATTCCTCGGTCTGAAACACCACTGTGGTGGCTCGGGTGCCACCTCCGTGCTCTGGGGCCCTCTCCCTGGGAACGAATGTAGCGGCCCTCATGGTGATGGTGTCCAGTCCCGTGCTGACTCCAACCTGAACCACACCACACCAACACCCGGTTCCAACAACACACAGGATCCCCCTGGATGGGGTGGGCTTGGCATTTCCTGCCTCCCCCCATCCATGACACAGCCCATGTCCACATACAGTGCCACACGCAATGTCCTTCTGCACACTCCTACAAGGCAACTAGCCCCCTCTCTCTGCCAGGGCCTGAGAGAGCCAAAGAGCACACCCCAGGCAGTGGGCTCAGCCTGGGGCTCACTAGGGCCCCAGTGAGATCGGAGGTGACAATTCTCAGGATGGCAGGAACAGGAGGGGGCAGGACCAGACCCTGGGACAGGAGGAGGGTGCAAGGGATTGATGAGGAAGGTGACCCGGGAAGCACCAAAAGCGAGGGGGCCGTGAAACAAGGAAGGGAAGGAAGCCAATTCAGGGTGTTGTAGTCACGCGGGTCCCCTTCCGAGGGGCACGAAGTGGAGAGCACACCTCACAGCCCCCTGCCAGGAAGAGGGGGTGGATTTCTCCCACTGGCTCTCAGACTCTCAAGGGTCACTGTTTGAGGCCACCCTTTCAGAGAACATTAGCCCTGCCCCCCTGTGCAGCTGAGCAGACTTCTCTGGCCAGAGAAAGTCTTCAGACAGGGGGGGTTGCAGCTGCTGGCAGATAAAGTCCTCTCCACGGTCAGCATGGTCTGCCACTGTGCCAGTACCTATGGGCACGGTGCATTCCAGGGTCTCGGACAGGGCGTCAACAACATCTGCCTCACGCGCGCAGCAGAAACCTCCAGACAGAGGAAGGACCGTTGATACAACGTATGGCTGCCCGCAGCTGCTCCTTGGGACACCGACCGGCTCCACCTGGCCAAGCCCACCCGCACATATACACCCAGGGCTCTCTCACACCAAGTTCCTCCCGACACCCTCAGACACACGCCCACATGGAGCATCACTCAGCTCCCACTACGCTTGCGCAGGTGGCTTTGGGGCACACACACTAGTGCCCCCACACTCAGAGCTCACACCCTCCGGGGTCCCACATGCACACTCCAAGGCCACCCACTCAATTCAGGCGTCACCGCTGGTGTCCACCTGATGACTGACCAGGTTGTGGGCCACGAACCGTGGAAGGACAGGCAGCTTCGATGCGTGAGACGGCAAATCTTCTGTCGTGGGCTCTGCTCTGCTTGACCTCACGCTGAACCTCTCAGGCCAGGTGAACTCTCTCAGTCAGAGCCAATTACCGGGGTCAGGCCAGTATTTCCGGGCTGCAGCAGGCTGGGCACGCCCTTGCCCCCAGGGTCACAGCCCAGCTGCGCCTGCTCAGCGTCTCTCCTAGGAATCCCGGGGCTCCAGGCGCCCAGGCCCAATGGGCACAGCCCCAGCCATGCCACACTGACTCCCCACCCGCCTGACCCCTGTGGTCCTGGGGCCGCCCAGCCTTCTGCTCCTTAGCTTGTGGCTGCCTGATCCATGACCCACCACAAAACTGGCACTACTTGGATTACAGGGTAAAAGAAGGCGGCTTTGGGGGAACCCTCCACCCCCCCCCGGCAAGCTCTGAGCACCGTCACCCACCCCCGTGACTCACTGCAAGAGACAGAAACCCAATTTGAAACTTCTTAAGCAAGAAAAGATATTTATTGGCTCACAGAACTAAATTGTCTAAGTGACAATTCTGACTTCAGGCATGGCCAGATCCAGGCAGTCCAAGAATATGGGCAGGTGTATTGTCTTTCTTGGTTCTGCTGCCCACCTTCATCCTCCGACAGGAGCAGTGGCTGTGGGCACCCCAAGTCTATGTTGGCAGGCTCATGATCCAGCCTCAAGGGTTATCTTACTGCCGGGCTCCGACATCTCCCCCTCCCCAGCCCTTCCCTTGCTGGACTGTTCCTGCGTGTCTGAACCATCCTTGCCAGACTGGGGGCCCAGGGTCAGGATTCAAGCTGGTTCTTCTCTGGGTGGTGGGCCCCGGGTGGGGGGAGGTGGCGGTTTGTGGAGTGGACAACTAGCGAGAATATTCAGTTCAATTCTGATGGAAACAGATTCCTCCCTGTGTTTCACGGCCTTGAGGACAGTAAGTACAGCGGTCCAGACCTGGGAGCCCCAGACCAGACAGCACCCACCCCTGTTCTCCCCGTGGCCTCTGAGCTGTTAGGCTTGGCAGGGGATTTAGGAGGATCTGGGCAGCAGGGACAGCTCTGAGGGAAGGCTAGGTGCTAGGACCCAGGATGCTTGGCTGCCCCCTCTTCTGTCATCAGCTCACCGTGTGACCTTCGGCCAGATCCTTTCCTTCTCTGGGCCTCAGGACCAGCCCCCCAACATATCCCCAGTGCTCCCCTCACCTCCCTCTGCCCCCTGCATTGTCACCAAAGTTAGTCACCCTGGCAGGCAGAGAAAGCAGGTTCTCACTAAGCCAGTTACTCTCCGAGGGCCCAGAAAGTGTGAACACAAAGCCCACAGTTCAAGAGGCTACAGAGGCCCAGTGGGGAGGAAGCAGGCACTGGAGGAGCTGAGCTGACCCCAGCACCGAGAGCACAGGGAGGGGAATGGTTCCAGGCACCCTGCCCGGCTTCCCCCATCGCGATCTCGGTCCACCCTGGAGAGACAGTTCACGGGCACGATGGGTTCCCTGAGAACCGAGGAGCAAGATGTCCAGAAAGTGTGAAGTAGTTACATCAATAAGTAACTAACACACGGTGTAGGTGTGGTGGCGGAGATTAAATTGTGTGTACCAAGTTGTTACACTTTGGCTATGAATAGGAAAAAAGATACAAACTGTTTTATACACACACACACCACCACCACCACCACCTTCCTTGGCCTGGTGACTGCCTCTTCAGCACAACTCGGTGGCCTGCAACTCTGTATATCCCCCTCCCCCAAATCTTCCATTTCCATTCAGTGTTCTTACAAATCTTTGGTATCAAGGAAAAAGCATGGCCTTGGGTTTCAGATAGTTTGGGTGTGGTAAACTATGTCCTCCAAAGGTGTCCAGGCCTGAATCCCCAGAACCTGGGAATATGTTACCTTCCGTGGCAAAGACACTTCGCAGGTGTGATTAAGGACCTTGAAACGAGGCGATTAGCCTGGGTCATCCAGGTGGGCCCAATGTGATCACAAGGGTCCTCACCAGAGGGAGGCCACAGGGTCAAAGTCAGAGAAGATATGATGAACTGAAGCAGCAGGAAGAGAGAAATGAGAGATTTACACCCACTACATTCCAGAATGGAATGTAGCAGGGTCCATTTTCAAGCAGTACTCCAATTGGGAAATGACTTCCCAACCACAGGGACAGGAATCGCCCTGGCCACTGAGCTCAGCAAAGACTGCAGGAGGCAGGGGAGCTAGAGACAGGAAGCAGAGAGCTCCCAGATGTGGTGAGCCCAGGTCTCAGGCAGGTCCAAGGCCAAGAATAAGGCAGATGCCCTTCCCGGTGACTGGAGGGCCAGGAGGCCAGCAGAGTCACAAAGCAACCTGAGGATCAAGAATGCTCGGCTGTGTAGAGCGTGGGTGGCTCAGTCGGTTGAACATCCAACTGCGGCTCAGGTCATGATCTCGCACGCAGTTCATGAGTTTGAGCCCCTGTGCTGACAGCTCGGAGCCTGGAGCCTGCTTCAGATTCTGTGTCTCCCTCTCTCTCTGTACCTACCCCCTCTTACATTCTGTCTCTCTCTCTCAAAAATGAATGAACATTAAAACAACTTTTTAAAGAATGCTCGGTGGTGTTACTACAAGGTCATAACGCCCCCCCCCCCCAGTGGGGCTCTCCAGGCTGCGAGCCACCCAAGGGCAGGGACTTTATCTCCTTTGCTTCTGAAGCCCCCAGGCTGGCATGGACCAGGGACACGGGCTGGCTGCTCAAGGATAGCACTTCCCCTAATAGCACAGGAGAACATGGAAAGGGACCCCGCATCTAAGAAGTTGGGAGATAGAACGCATGCCGCTCCCTCCCAGCAACTCACACCTGCTCTGTGAGAAGTCCTAAAGCCGAGAAGCCGAGGGACCGTAATTAAACCAGCAGAATCTATTTGGCCACAGGAAACTGTTACTCCCATAAGACTGATTACAAACCCCACCAAGTGCTCCTTATGGAGCACACTTTGAGAAATGCTGACCCACATGGAAGGAGTGAGTCACCGAGCGGCTGAGTGAGTGAATGATGACTTAATTAAGTATTGGGTGAATGAATGGAAGGAAGGAAGGGAGGGAAGAAAGCTGAAGGGAAGGAAGGAAGGAAGGAAAGCAGGTAGGGAGGGGGGAGGGAGGAAGCCTGGCTCTAAATATTGCTCCCTACTCCTATCTCCCCAAATTCACTCTGCCCTGCCTGGTGGTAAGGGGCTCAGACAGTGGGGGTGAATCAGGATCCTAATGGGTGCTGCCCTATTTATACCTGGGTCTGTTTTAAAGGGAAAATCCTGTTGTTTATTTAATGTGCTTCCTCCTTAGGCAAGGCTGGGGTATGATGAAAGACATTCTAGCATGATCATGACTCCTCCAGGGCCATAGGGCATAAATGGGATCTCAGGTCTGAGAATAAGCCAGTGAACTGTAAAAGGACAAAAAAAAAAAAAAAAAGGTGGAAAAAGCAGGGAGGGAGGGAGATTATTCCCCCAAAGCAGTCCCAGGATTTGCGTACGGATCATCTGGGAGGCAACCCTGGGAAGCACAACAGGAATCGGGAATTAAAACAAGGGTGGGAGAAGAGCCACTCATGAGCAGGTTACTGCAGGGGACAACCGGGGATGATCCCACTGGGGACCCCCTAAGAGAGTGGAGAACACACCCCAGAACTGTCCTGCCTGGGGCAAGAAGCTGGGAGTTCTATCCACCCACCCTCCTTGGCTGGTGCTAACACCCTGGGACTTGGAGCCTGTCCCACACACACCTGCAGCCCGAGAACATTCTCAAGCGTGAGGCATAAGGAGCCTTAGCTGGTGGCATCCAAAGTGGGCTGGGGGTTATGGGCTGGCACGCAGTGTCGGCTGCAGAGGGGTGTAGACGGCTGTGGGCACCACTGTCTCTGTTTCCCCATTTGTTTAGGGGACGGGACAAGGACCGAGCCCGACCTCAGCTCTGCTCCACTGTAAGGAGGTGGCACAGCCCCAGCAACCCTCGGGTCTGAGCCCCTCAGAGCGACAAGCAAAGGCAGAGCCGGGCTGTGTGTGGCTTTCTCTTTTGCTAGCACAACTTCCTCTTCAGCTTCCTGACTGAGCAGTGGGGCAGGACGGAGGTGGGCCAGCCTGGGCCTGGCCTAGAAAGGCCCACACAGCTCTCCTCGGCACCTAGCCCCTCGGAGCCACCATGAGCCAGCCCCAACACCCTGGGCCGGGTGAGGCTGCTCCAGAGACCCTCCTGGGTGACCTCATCAGCTACTACCAAGAGGAGGCAGGGGCCGGCCGGCTCCGGGTCTGCAGGCAAGCAGCCCTCACCCACAGGGCCCGGCGGTTCTCCGACATGGGGCCCCCCCTTCAGCTCTATCCGCCTGAACTTGTGGCCTCCAATCTGCGGGCCACTCACTCCCAGGGGGCACCCAGCCCTACCCAGCCTGTCTGCCATGAACTGGTGCAGGCACTAGAGTTCCTGGAGCTAATATCTGTCAACCTACTTCTGTTTCCCTGGAGGAAGGAAATCAGGTCCCTGAAGGTAGGCACCACCATGCCTCTGAGCAAGGGGGTCTCGGGTTGGAGACAGAGCTCTGCCTCTGGGGGAAACAGCGTGTCCATCATGCCCACTGACTTTGGTCCCATTTTATAGTTGGATAAACTGAGAGCCAAAGAGGTTAATGCAACTTACCTACGGTCACCAGCTAATAAGTAGAAGAGATAGACCTCAAACTCAGGCAGCACACCTTCCAACCGCTAAACTCTACGGCCTCTCTAAAGACAAGGAACCAAGGAGCTCATAATAAACAGGGGAAGGGGTCTAGCTTTGGAAAGCTTTAATCTCTTCTGACTCCAGGCCAGGACTCCTGGGTTGGGAGCCAGGATATCGGAGCCTCACCCCAGCTCAATCTCTTGCTATGTGACTTGCGACAGGTCCTGTCCTGTCTCTGGGCCTCAGTGTGCCCTTCTATAAAATGGGACAGAGGATAACATGATCATGGGCGAGATGTCCCTTTGGCCAAATGCCCCAGCCCAACGGCTTCTCAGAAGCCTCCAGTGCCCCCCTGGGCATCGGCCCTTGGTCCTGCCTGGCCATTCACAGCCACTTTGCTGGGCTGTGTCCCACCTCTAATAAACATCCCTGTTTGTTCCAGACATACACTGGAAACTTTGCCTACCGGGTGCAGCCCGTGCTTTCTGAACAAACACTGCACACCATTCTGGGCAGGCTGGGCTATGTGGCCACCTCTGAGGCGGAGTTTTCGCTGGTCCAGGCCATCAGCAAGGAGGACGCCGAGCAGATGGTGTTTGAAATCTTCCTGGCGAGAGTTACATGTGAGGCCATTCTGGGGACCTCGAGCAGGCAGGTCCTGGGACTGGGCAGAGAGAAACCCTACCGCAGGCGCAGCTCCAAGAGAAAGCTGGCGAAGGCCCACAACTGCCCCGAGGGGGCCCAGCCAGGCCCCCAAGAAGGGCTGGGATCTGAGAGGGCCCTGGCTGAGGGCCCTGACCATCAGAGCACTGTGCCAACGGCCCCGAGCCTGTCTGAGGTCTCAACATCCCCCCGCACCCTCCGTGCCGGCCCCCAGCTCCCCCTGGACTCCCAGCGCCGTGCCAGCACACGCTCGGACAGTGAGGAGTTCTTGACCTGCTACAGTGACCTTGTTCTGCACCGGACACCCCTGTTCCCCAGGGACTTTCCCCTGCGCGGCCTGAAGGGAGACCAAGCCCAGGGCCCAGCCCTGGCTCCCAGCCCACCTGCAGGTGAAGCACTCACTTCCTTGGGCAGCAGCGGTGAGTGGTCCCTGGTCCCCAGTGCAGCTCCTGAGAGCAGAGTGGTCACCATCCCCAGGCAGCCCCGGCTGACACCAGGCCCCCAGTTGTCAGGGAAACCCTTGGACCCAAAGCCAGAAGCACAGCCGGAGCCGACCGCCCCTGACGCAGACACTGTTCCTCCAAACACTTCCTCTGAGTTGAACGAGCTCTGTGAACACCTCTCCCACCTCCTCGGACCCCCAACTCTAGCAGACCATCCTGGGGGCCTCCCAGGCCCTGGGGTTGAGGACACTAGACAATCAGAACCTCTCACGGGGCCAGAGCCAGCCGCTGAGGCCGGGGGCCCAGACAGTAGGATCACCCAACTCTGGAGGCCTACTCAGAACCCCCTCATGTATGAGGGCCCCCGACACTATGTTCCCCCAGGGGAGCTGGAGGGGCCAGTTCTGACCCAAGAATACCACCCAGACAATAGCTAAAAAATGTCACCCCTGGATAATACAGGGACAGAGACCCAGACTGCTCTTCCACCAGGGAAGCGACCCCTTGGAGAGGTGGCAGATCTGGAACCCACAGCTTGTCAGGGGTAGGGATCAATCTGCTAAGCAATCCATCTGGTCTCAAGTCCCACCTACTGACTGTGTGACTTTGGGCCACTCGCTCCGGCTCTCTGAGCCTTGTTTCCTCACCTGTGTGGTCGGACCTGCTCACAGGAGGCTGGGAAGTGTCCGTGAGGTGAGGTGAGGTGTGCACAGTGCCCCTCGGTGCTTCCCTTGGCGGGGGGTGCTTCTGGTCCCTTCCCATCCCCACTAAGTGTGTGACCCTGGGCATCTCTGAGGGGCAGTTTCCTCCAGCATCCTCAAGGGAACTGTCACAGGACAGGTGAAGAAAGCTGTGTAGATAACTACACCCTTAATGCGCTTAGACTACTCTGTCAGCCTCCCTGCTCTGTCTGCTAACTTCTGGTTAATAGAGAACAAAATCATTCCCGGGAGCACAGGATCACACGCGGGCTCTGCATCCATGGGTTGGGGGCTCCACTCATCTGGGCTGCGGCGCCCCCCCCAGCCATCTCTTGCCCCCACACATGCACACGCACCTCACAAGTGGGCACATCCAGAAGTGCTGCTCTTCCCACAGTATTCCCACCCGCTCGCTCCAAGCAAATGACCCCATCTCTTTGTGAGCTAAAGCCAGAGAGGATCCTGTCTGAACCAAGTCCTGTGACTTTCTTGCTCAATTCTCCCCAGGGGCTCCCAAGGCCACACCAAGCCCCACAGGCCCCTCATTATCCTTTGATCTCATTTCCTGCCTCTTTCCCCCCAGCCTACTGCAGACAAGACAAACTGGCCTCTTAAGGGTTCTCAAACAAGCTAAGCCCACCCCTACCTCCCAGCCTCTGTGCAAACTGTTCCCTTTCCCCACTTCGCATCCCGTCTCTATCTTTCCTGTTATTCACAACTCACCTTAAATGTCACCTCCTGGAGAGGCCTTCCATGGCCACCCATCTATCACATCAACTTAATTTTCTGCACAGACATTTAAATGTACTTATTCATTTTCCATCCCCCCCCCGCCCTCCTAGAATATAAGCTCTTCGAGAAACTTCATCTTGTCTCATTCACCTCTGTTTCCAGGGATCCATCAAGTGAGTAGAAAACTTAGAAAATACAGATGGACATAAAAACAAAAGCAGCAGTTACCATAATATCCACACTGGGAGACACCCAATGTTAGGATGTTAACGCAATTCCTTCTGGTCTTTTTTTTTCTAAATTTGGGATTGTAGTATTTACAGTGTTGTCTTCTGCTTTTCTTTACCACAAAGGGAGTTATTGTAACTAATTTTAGATTTAAAGAAAAGTTGTGAAATAAGGCAAGGAATTCCTTTGGAACCCTCACCTTGTGTCCCCTGAAAATGACATCTTATATAACTAGAGTATGATGATCAAGAACAGGCAATTGGGGCGCCTGGGTGGCGCAGTCGGTTAAGCGTCGACTTCAACCAGGTCACGATCTCACGGTCCGTGAGTTCGAGCCCCGCGTCGGGCTCTGGGCTGATGGCTCAGAGCCTGGAGCCTGTTTCCGATTCTGTGTCTCCCTCTCTCTCTGCCCCTCGCTCTCTCTGTCCCAAAAAAAAATAAATAAACGTTAAAAAAAAAAAATTAAAAAAAAAAAGAACAGGCAATTAACACGAAGACAGTATGATTAACTAAACTACAAACCTTTTTTAAATGTGACCAGTTTTCCCATGACTACCCTTTCTCCATTCCAGGATCCTTTCCAGGACCCCATAGGACATTTGTCCTTTTTCCTTCATCCCCGCCGGTCTCTGCCCCAGTCTGTTACAGTTCCTTAGCCTTAGTTTTGTCTTTCCTCATCTTGATGCTTTTGGTCAAAACTTAATACTGATTTTGTTGAATGTCCCTCAGTTTGAGTTTGTCTGTTTTTTTTTTTTTTTTTTTAATAGTTGAAGTGAGGTTATGCATTTTTGGCAAGAATACCATTAAAAATGATGCTGTGTCCTCGGTGCATCTTACCAAAGGGTTCATCTTATTACTGGTGATGCTAACGTGCTGCATCCCTGGAATAAACCGCTTGTCCTAGGAGCCCTGGTGCCTCTTACTGGAAAATGATGTTTAGACACCAAGACCCAGGTGCCAGGTGTGCTGTTACTGGGTGTCATTGCTTCCAAGCCCACTCGGGGGGCAGTCAGGAAACCTATGGATGTGTCCTAACCCAGGCATATACATATGTGAGTTTATTTCCAAATCTATATAGAATTTTAAAACCATGAGTGTTTATGGATTCCTCTGATTTTAAGCCAATGACACAGGGTTGCTTCTACCTCACCCCTTTTACTTAGAAGTTCTTTCTGTAGAAGAGAATGAAACCTGGCTCTCTTAATCTACGGTCTACTTGTTTGTTCAGGTCCAATACTATAGTTTTAGAATTGTTGACCACACCTCCGTGAGAAACACTTTTAAAACCCTATCATAGCATTTATGAAGACTAATTTTCACCTTCACTCTCGCCACATCAAGGTTCTGTTTTCCACAGTTACTCGGGCAACTTCCTTACTTCCCTGCCCTCTGGTGTGGTCGTTTTCACTTGTGATGCTCTTAGGGTCAGCTGTGTCTGAATTCCGTTTTCCATTCCCCCTACATCCGAGTTGATCTTGTTTGTTTATTTCGGGGGTAATGGGACACTTTTCTATGGTTCTAAGAGTCAGTTATACAAAAAGACGCATTCACACAAGTGTCATTCCCTTCTCCTCCCTGCAACCACACCTCATCCTTCCCTCTCTACAGCCTCTGCCCACCAACCTATTTAGTTTCTGGATCATCCTTCATTTCCTTTGCATCTGTGTATTTTTTTAAAGTTTTTATTTATTTTTGAGAGAGAGACAGAGCACCAGCAGAGGACGGGCAGAGAGAGAGGGAGACACAGAATCCGAAGCAGGCTCCAGGCTCTGAGCTGTCGGCAAAGAGCCCAACATGGAACTCGAACTCACAAACAGTGAGACGTGACCTGAGCCAGAGTCAGATGCCTAACCGACTGAGCCACCCAGGCGCCCCTGCATCTGTGTATTTTCTTGGGTCTCTTCTTATACAAAGGGTAGTGTACCAGAGATACTCATCTGGATGTTGTTTTTCACTCAAGATTGCTTTATGTCCTGGAAATCATATCTGTTCAGAAAGAGCTTCTTCATTCTTTTTTCCACTCCACTGTGTGGCTGTGCCATAGTTTATTTGACCACTCTGTTACGTACAGGTCTTTAGGCTGTTTCCAGTTATTTTGCAGTCAAAACCAATGCTGCAATAAATAACCTTGTGCATAGATATTTTTATATTGTAGAAAGTATATACTCGATACCACGAGTGGGATCCCTGGGTCGCAGTGTAAGTGCATATGTACTTTGTCGGATGTTGTCAAACTTCTCTCCAAAAGGGCTGTACAAAGTTACACTCCCACCAGCGATGTACGTGAGTACTTGTTCCCCACAGCCTCACCAAAAGAATGTGGTTTGTTTCCCCCCACACACCCCTGTCTGGTAGGTGAGTCAGTGTTCTTTCAGTCCGTCTGGGCTTTTGTAACAAAACACTACACACCAGTGGCTTATACACAACAGAAATTTATTTCTCACATTTCTGGAGGCTACAAGTCCAACATCATGGTGCCAGTATGGCGGTGTTCTGGCGAAGGTCCTCTGCCGGGCTGCAGACTGCAGACTGCCGACTTCTTGCGGTGTCCCCACACGGTGGAAGAGGCACGGGAGCTCTGTGGGGTTCTTTTACAACAGCGCTGAATCTATTCATGAGGTTCCATTCTCACACCTAATCTCTTCCTCTTGAAGGTCCCCTCCTAATACCATGGCCTTAAGCATTAAGTTTTCAACATATGAATGGGGGGTGGGGGGACTACAAATATTCAGATCAGAGCATCTGCTTTTCTCTGAATGAATGTGAGTGTTTTTCACATGTTTAAGGGCCATTTTTATATCTTTTTTGTAAATTGTCTTTCACATCTTTTCCTCAGTTTTCTATTTGGTTTTTGGTCCTTTGTCCTTCAATGTTAAAGAATTCTTCATGGATATTTAGGAATATTAGCCCTTTGTTACATATGTTGCATTTTTCTCCCAGTTTGTTAACTGTCTTTTGATTTTGTTCATGCTAGGTTTTATCACACAAGTTTTAAAATTTTTACTTAGCCAGAATGATTAACATTTGGTTGCCTCTGGATTTTGAATCATCATTAGGAAGCTTTCCCTACATCAAGGTTTTAGAGATGAATTCATCCACATTTTCTTCTGGTACTTGAATGGTTCCAATTTCTACATTTAGATCCCTAACCCCTTGGGAGTTTATATGGCATTAAAATACGGATCTTTTATCTTTTTCCAAATGGTGACCTTAGCCACCATTTTTGTTAAAAAGTCCATCTTTACCCCAATGATTTGAGATGGCATCTTTGTCACGTAAATTTCTATATGTACTTACGTCTATTTCTGGGCTATTTTATTTCACTCTTCTACTTATCTATTCATGCATCAGTTCCACACTGTTTTAATGATGCAGGTTTTACAGTATGTTTTACTGTCTAGTAAGGCTCGTTCTCCATCACAGTTTTTCTTTTTCCAGTGGTTTCCTGGTTATTCCTTAATGTTTGTGTTTCTATATAAAATTTAGAATAATGTGTATAATTCCACAAAATAGACCGTGGTGTTTCTACTGAGATTGTATTAAATTTGGAATTTAATTTAAGGGAGAACAGACATCTTTATGTTGAGTCCCCCTATCCAAGAATGGGATGTCTTCACATTTGTTCGTCTTATTTGGTGTCTTTGAGGAGTGCTTTAGCATATTTCTTGTATGTTTTTGTATGTATCTTGTTAAATTTATTCCAAAGTATTTAATCTTCTTTGTTACCACTGTAAATGGGATCTTCACTACCGTTATAACCTGTTTATCATTTGCATATGCTAGTGTTGTATCCTGCTACTTCAGTAAAATTCTAGAGTTGGTGTTGGTTTTATCACTGAGTCTTTGGTGTTAATTCTCTACCCCAACAGAAGGGAGTGCTGAGGCTGCAGGTGCCTTCCTGCCTTAGTGTGGGTTTTCTCAGGGATTATTTCAGGATGGGGGGTAGCTATGAGGAGCTAAACTACATGCTTCATGAGTGGAGGGAGGTGTCTGTCCTGGCCACCAGTGTGCACCTGTCAGCCAGCACAGGGCCTGGCATACGGCTGATGCAGGGGAAGTGCTGTCAAGAGACAGGGAGAGAATAGAGGCCTGCTGACAGACTGCCTGGGGACAGACTGCAAAGATGCTGAAATAATATTTCCCCCATAGCCCTGATAAACATTCCCCCCTCCAGGAAGGTGCAAGAGTGTCTGGTCTCCTCTCCAGCCAACTACAGAGACGTGGAAAGGGTTTGAGGGAGCAAGAACACCTGGGGTCTGGCACCGCTCCAGACTCTCTGTGTCCATCACTCATTTAACTCACCCCTTTGTAGTCTGGGCAGCCTCTCTCCTCGTGAGGGAGAAAACAGAATCCCAGTGTCCAAAGGAGGAAGAAACAGAACCAGAGAAGCAAGGTGACCTGCCCCAGGTCTTGCAGCCAATAACCGGGGAAACTGGGATCCCAGCCCATATTCTGACCCCAAAGCCCAAGTCCCATCCACAAAGCCAAGTGGATCCCAAAAGGTAAGATTCACTGAACACTTAACAACTGGTCACTGTTCATTTTCCTGGGCATTTCCTAAGATGAGCCTGGAGTTGCCAACATCTACCCATCCCTGGCTACAAATAAACCTGCTCTGTGCCTTAGGGAAAGGGTGAGTGAGAGGTCACCTGAGCCCATGGGGAAAGAGGTCTGCCGGCAAATAAGCAAGAAAACCATTCGTTTATTGTGTAAGGAACTCCAGGGCCTTGCTGGTACAAGAAGCAGTGTCATTTCTCACGGCCTGAGGAGCAGTTATGTCTCTCCCAGCTCTCCCTCTCACGCCTAAGGATGCCAGGCGCAGACCCAGAGTCCCCACAAGAAACAGGAGCATTTATAAAAAGAAAAGAAAGGCCAGTTGGTTGCCCCATACTCTGCTATTCTAGAAAGGTCATGAGGCAGTTTACAGAGGTAAAGTCCCGAAGGTCAGCCTCAACCAGGCCTGTGACCTGTGCCTACTGAACAGATACATCAAGGTGGTCCCAATTAATTGGTGAGAGCGTGTGCCCATGCCGCTCTGACGGAAAGTGCCAGCCACTGCAGCTGCTGCCATTACTCGGCCAACGAACTGCATTCCAGTCAGTTTTCCAGGAAACATCAGATGAACTAACATTTATGGGACACTTACTGCCTACCAGGCCCTGGTCCAGACCCCTTCCATATGCGAGGTCAGTTATCCTCACAGCCCTGAGAAATGAGCAATGCTCCCATTTGATAGATATGATAACCAACACTCACAAGACATTCAACCACCACCAAGATGCCAAGTTTTCTTGGAACTCTGGGATGTCCAGTCCTAGAAACTTTAAACCCAGGGAGTTCCCTGGACTCATCATCCCCGGGAATGGTGTTAGAAAACAGTCACAGGCCCACCCCAGAACTGGATTCCACTCAATTGGAAACTCTGTGGGTGGACCTGGTAATCCATGTTTTAACATGCCCTCTGGGGATTCGGATGTACTGAACCTGGAGAACCAAGAGCTAGAGATTCCCAAAGGGCACAAAAGCCAAGAGTCATCAGCAGCTGCAGACTCCTGAAAACAGTGCTTTTCCCAATGTGTGTTCCGAGGAACACTGGCACTTCTGGAGATTGTTAATGGATATCCCCCAAATGAGGGGTTCTACTGTCAATGAGTCTGAGAGTCCCTGGCTTAAATAAGGGTGAAAAGGTGTTTTTATCACAGGACTGCTTGAGTTTATCTATACTAATGTATCTTGTGCATCTGAGAGAAAATACCCAGGTGGTGCTTCCCAAATTTCCTGGACTACGGAACCCTCTTTTCTCAGAACACCTGTTACTCTCTCCTAGAACACCTGTGTTCCACGGACCCCAGCCTTGAAGAACAACAAGCCAAGAAATGCAGAAATTCGGGAAGAGAGCAGCAAAAGTGGATACCCACTCTGGATTCGGCAAGACTAGCTCTCTCTTAGCTTCTGTTTAATGACAGCCTTTGGCAAGCTCACTATCTTATGTAAACTAAAGGAACACAGAGTTCACTCCGCCTTCTTAGAGGAGCTGCGGGGTTGGGGTTATTAGGAAAAGAAAGCCCTGTGCCAGTGACCCTGGGGCTCTGGGTGAGTAATCCACCACCAAAGCCCAGAGGCACCAGGCGGGGTATTATTATTATTATTAGATTTCCAACAATGGAGGGCTGACATTTCCAAGAGCTCGTCAATTACTTTAATAACTGTAATTCTTCTGGGTGGAGAGGCCACAGGGATAAGTATTACTCATTCCACAGATATGTGAGCATTTGATGTGAGCGCCCCCATCCGGCCCCAGGGCTCTAGGAAAACAAGATGGCACAGATTCAACAGCACCCAGGGGGTAGGTAGGTTCTGGAAACGCCTTCTACCTTTTCTCAGAGTTGTACACACTTCAATCCTTCCCCAGGTCTGATGGTGGAGGCCTGGGGGAGTCCCGGCTAAAGGTCTCCAACTGATATATCCCACAGGCAGGGACGGGTACACTTATCTAGGTAAGCGGCTCAGGTGGAAATGAAAGAGGACAGGAAGAGAAATCAAAGATGACATTCTTTCCCAGGAACCACGGTTTAGGGAGGGCCTCCTGAGAGCCAAGCTGTGGGAGGGAGTGCATTATACTGGTGGCCTCTGCCCTTTCCGGGCTACACCCAGCGCAGGAGGCGGGTTGAGCTGAGGGCACTGTGGTCCCTGGCAGTGAGGGTGAGGTGATGTGAGGGCACAAAGGAGGGAGAGAGGGTGCCACAGCACTGACACCACATCTGTGGCCCAGCCTGTGGGTCCTGACTTCCTTCCTGTCTTTCCCCCACCTCTAAGGCCTCTAGAAAAATCCTGTTAGAACCTTCTGGCTTATCTTGCAAAGCCTTGCAAAGGTCCTCATCCACATGAGAATTAAAGCATGAATGGGGGACAGACAATATGTCCTGATGCCTTCATTAGCCAGCGAAGGAACTGTGGCACCATCTTGGACACGGAAGTCCCTGGAGGAAGGAAGCCACAAACCAGGAAGTTGAGCTGGGAACAGAAAGCCAGAGAGAGCCCGGGATCCCATGGCCTCGGAGCCACCATACCAGTCCCGGATCACCCACCTCTGCCCTTTTACGTGCAAGAGAAATACACTTCTATCTCATTTTTTTTTTTAATCACCAGGTACATGAACTATTTCTGAATGATTCTAATCATGCATTTTGCATATAAAATTAAAAATATGAAGTATAAATCAGAATTATTTCACTAAACATGCTGAGTACAAGAAGATGTATATGCTATTAAACATTTTTTTTTTTTTTTAATTACCAAGGGTCAAAGCCGCTGAGGTGGCTCTGGGGTATACTCATGCAATGCTCTACAGAACCCCACCTCAGGGTAAGAATGGGGCAACACCAATAAATCTGGAACGTCACTGCCCTGGCTTGCCCTGTCAGCAATTCAAGGAGCCAGCCCCTGCCATGCCCCTCCGAGCCATTCCTGGGAGTCCCTGAGGAGTGCCTCCCTCAGCTCTAAAAACTAGGTGTCGTGCCTACCGGGTGCCTTCTGCCCTTTTCCTGCCCTGCTCCATGACTCCTGATGTCACCAGCCCTGCCTGCCACATGGGGAAGGCAAGCCTCATATGTGCAAGCTGAGCACCAAGCCATTTTGTGGGACATACGTAGGCTGGGAGATTTTTGCCACCTGCACTGGCCGCTGCAGGTACACGGCATCCTGTCCGTGGTGCCAGAGCAAGAGGATGGCGAGCTTTTTTGGACCCAAACCTCCCATGTTAGGAAAGATGGGGTTTAGAAAATGAAACCACATTATCCTACTGGCAAAAGGATGCTGCAGGGAGCTAAAATCACTGGCCTAGGAAGCACTCCAAAATTAACCTCAGGTTTTCAGTGAAGAATTTATTGGCTACTACAGAGCAAGATTTTATTTATTTTTTAAAATTACATTTCCCCCAAAACAGATGCTCAAATTAAGCTGTGGGGAAAATACTGGACTGTTCATCTACAAATTCCCAGAGACTTCCCTGGCCCGTCAAGATCCCCGGTAGCACAGGCTCTCGCCTCCCCTGGGCATCTAGTCAATCACTGACATTTGGGCTGAGAGGCTCATCCCCACGGGGCTGCCCCTCTTCCTGCCCGCGTAGCCCAAGATTTGGTCCAGGAGTCACAGTCTTGCCCCCTTAGTGCTCCCTCTGGAACTGGACCACCAGAGCACCTGTAACCCACGCAGAGTCAGACAGCTGCACGCACAGGTGCCACACTCCCGCAGAGGCCGTGGCAAGGCCTTCCAACCTGCGTTTACACCAACCGCTGCTCAGGAGAGCTGAGGCCTGCTTCCCCAAAGCTCACAACTGGCCCCTCTCTGTGTCGACAACAATCTTCTGATCTCCACCCACCTCCAAAATATCAGGAATACCAGTGCTCCAAGAGCCTTTGCTTGCGAGCCCTGACCTTCTTGTCCAGACTGTCTCCTAAGAGAATGTTATTTCTCTCTACTTCCCACTGGACTCAAGAGGCAGCTATGGCTGTGATGTATTGTTACAGCTGAGAAGCTAAGATATATTCTGAACCAATAAAGATGAGTTCATGCTCTATGATCCAAGGTGTCCCCTTCATGGAAAAACATTTCAAAAAGACTTAAGGCCACTCAGGCCTCTCCCACAGCCCACAAACTCTCAGTAATTCCAAGGGCAAACCTCCTCACACAGGCCATCACAAGGTAAGAGAGCCTCAGAAGCCAGGGCACTGGTGCCCCTTGCCCCAGCTTGGCACCGGGCAAACCACCCAGGCACCAAAAGCCATGTCCCTGACATGGAATTGGCAGCAGCTCAGTCAGGCCTTGGTCACCAAGGACACCAAGCACCGTGCAGAAGTCAAAGCACGATTCTCTCAAGGACACGGGAGTCCAGATGATGAGGTGGTAAATGCCGCAACAGCCTCATGCTGGGAAAGCACCGGACGCTGGGCTCAAGCCAAACACAGCACAATTTTGTGAAGGTCTAGGAATGCTGACTGTCCTCGAGAACTGCTCACATAATGAGAAAATGAGGATGCTGGCTCCACGCACTGCTGGCTCTCCCCACACAGACGTGAGATCTCTAGCAAGGGAAGACAGGCTCTCAGGATGAGAGGCAGAGAACGTTTCAGAGTCACCAAAAGTCTAAATTGTGCCAACTCCACTGTCACTGGCTGTGTGACCCTGGGGAGTCCCTTGGCCTCGCTGAGCTTCAACTTCCTCCCTGGGATGTAAGGGCCACTACCCCACCCTCCTGGGTGGCGGGGAAGGGTTAGAGACTCCAAACCCAGCATGAGGTCAGGAGGCTCTTCCCTCAATCAGAGGGACCCAGCAGTGGGAAACCACCAGGAGAGGCGCTGGGGGAATGCAAGGCTACGACCACCAAAGGGCATGACAAACCCACTGGTCCCATTTGTCGTTTACCTGCAAGGACCAGAGACCCAGGATGAAGACACTGGCAAAGAGGAAGAGACCATCAGGAAAACAATGTGGCCAAATATAAAGCCCTCCCGAAAGTTGATTTTCCCAAATTGCTCCTAACAGCTAACTTGGCAGCAGTGGGCATTTTTCTGGCATGATCTTTCCTGTTCTATGAGCCATGTTTCTGATTCTCTGGAGTTAGTATGCGGTCCCGGTTTTGTTCAAAGAGTTCTAACATTTTCTTCCTGTCGTGGTCAGCCTCAATCACCTGGAAATTAAACACATGGATCACCGGACTGCACTTGACCTCAACATCCTCCTCCCTTCACGATGAAGAGGGGGAGAGGTAGAGACAGGCAGGATGAAGCGGGAGAGGCAGAGAAGCCCAAGGTCACAGGCAGAGAAAATGGAAGCATAAAAGCAAAACAGCACCTGGTTCTAGGTCAATTCATATTCTCAACTGTGTTTTCACTTAAGAATCCACTACAGCTGTCCCTGTGGCCAGCCCACGAATGATGTTTTTTTTTCCCCATCATGTTATATTATCCAATCACGAGGGGGAAAAAATAGATTTTACTTCTTCAAAACTCCAGCACAGTAATATCTCACTTTTCGGCAACCTCGTGGCCCGCGAGCACCGTGAGTAGAAGTATTTGAGAAGCCCAAACAGATGTCCCTCAGGCCATGCACCAAAGTCTGTGTGCGGCCCTCCCTTGCATCCCACGCTGTGCACGCACTCCTGACAGTCTTAGCACCCATCTGCCTGCCTCAAGAAATTCAGCAGCAGCAAATCGGAAAACGAGGGGACAGGGAAGCAGGGAAACACGGATGGAGCGGAAACGGCGACACAGTTAGAAGTGGCGAGTGTCAGCAGGAGAAAAGGGGGCGGCTATACAAAGCCAACGCGGGAGCTCAAACACGTGAGTGGTGTGGGGCAAACAGTCCTACACACCTCAGCACCTCCTAAGGGCATCGCTGGGTAACAGCCCAGGACAGCAAGTGGTGCTCCTCCAGACGCCCTGGGTCACCAAGAAAGGGGGCAGTGAGGCTCTGCGCCTGCTATCCACTGAAGAAGGGACGGCTGCATCGCAAAGACCCAGCTCGAGTGCTTAAAGCCAAAACGCACGTCTAGAGGCTTCAGCCATCGGGGACACTCCTTCCCTGGTGAGGCTGGATAAGTGAGATGCTACTGTGGCCACCGGTGTAATGACACTGGGACAGGTCACCTTCTCTCAGGACTGTCCAACTAACTCTGAGACTCAGTCCAGAATGGGGACCGGGCCAGAGAAAGAGCCCTTTCCACCCTCCCTGCTTCCTCCATCTCGATCCTCCAGCTATGAAGGAACTCGTGCTTCCCCGGACTACAGAGTGGCTGACATTCCCTGGGTCACTCCTCCTTCTAGAAAAGAAGGGGAACTTACCAGAACAGGGGCTGCCACAGGGAAAAGGCCTCCTTTGAAGAGCCACTCCTCATAGAGGCGGTGAAGAGCATCCAAGTATTCCTGCCAGGAAACACACACACACACACACACAGACACAGGCTGTCAGGAGCAGGGAGGGGAGGGGGACAAACCTCTCCACCAAGGGTCTTAGGCAGGGGGGTGAATGTTGATGACCACAGGGCAGTGGCTTGGACAAAGGAGCCTACAACCGCTGACCTGGTCCAGGCGGACAGCAGTAAATGCAGCGGCTCCCTCTGCCAGCCAGCTCGGGCAGGGCAACAGTCAGAGGCTTCACTAGGGCCATGGGCTCCACCCCTCCCTGCTCCACTGGTGCCTTACGCACACCCTCCCACCTCGCTTCTCACACTTCCTGCCACTTCTTCAGCAGCAGGGCCATCAGCTCCTTCATGGTGGAGCCCACAGCTGCCCCACAGCTGGACAGCCCAGCCCTGGGCAGCCTCTGACCCCTCCCCTCTGACCTTCCCTCCAAGAGGACAATGACCCTCACTGGCCTAGGGAATCCCATTCCTGCTGCTCCTACTCCCTAGATGACTTACAACCTGTGGACCCTCTAGACCATGAAGACCAACTTCATTTAAAAATTTTTTAATGTTTATTTATTTTTGACAGAGAGAGAGAGAGAGAGAGAGAGAGAGAGCGAGCATGAGCAGGGGAGGGGCACAGAGAGAGGGAGACACAGAATCTGAAGCAGGCTCCAGGCTGTGAGCTGTCAGCGCAGAGCCCGACACAGGGCTCGAACTCACAGACTGCAAGATCATGACCTAAGCCCAAGTCGGACGCTCAACCGACTGAGCCACCCAGGCGCCCCATGAAGACCAACTTCAGAAAGCCCCACGAGGTGGAACCCAAGGGAAAAGAGGCCCGGACATGCCCCTAAGCCATTAGTGCCTCTGCACAGGCAGGACTGGACAGCACACACTTCCACACGCACAGGCCAAGGTGCTTTTGCTGCCCGTGACCACCTCCCCAAGCAGCAATTTACTGCCAGCCCGGAAGTTCTTAGAGAAACCGCACTGACACCTTTTCCATCCACCACTGAGTTCTCCCTTGGCAACAACAGGTTTGTCCTATAGGCCACATCAGAAATGTTAGGATAATGGCTTGGCTAATGGCTTAGAGGGACTCCAGACTTGTCATTTCTTCAGAACATCTGTGTCACTGCACAGAGTGGCCATGCCCTACCTTGGCATGGCCCAGCCCCACTCCACTGCACCCTTCACTCCTGTCTCTGGATTTCAAAGGAGCTGCCTAGAGAGAGGCCCATGCCTTCATGGCTGGAATCAACCTTTCTGGTGCCCAAGGAAAATAAGGCTAGGCAGGCCTCAGGAGCAGGACAGGTCTTCCAGGGCCCCAAGTCCAGCCCATCCTGAGCTCAGACCCCCATGACACCCCAGTAAATGCCTGCCAGCCTCTGTCTGTGTACCGCCAGAGGCATTCGTGTAGGGCATTCAGTTCAGTACTAACTGAGCAACTCCTAGGTGCCAAGTCCTGGGAAACATGCTGGGGATGCAAAGGGAATAAGATCTAATCTTAAAAAGCTCACAGTTTGATGATAGATGGGGAACAAACATACAGACAAATAGTTTCAGTATGATTGTCCTTAGGGCTGTGATCATAATACACCCAGCGGCTAGAGGAGCACAATGGAGGGAAGGTCAGGGAAGGCCTCCTGGAGAAAGTGACATCTGAGCTGAACTTGGAAGGCAAAAGAAACCACCATACAAAGGCACATTTATGTAACTACATGGTGAGTGTGTGTGTGTGTGTGTGTGTGTGTGTGTGTGTGTGTATGTGTGTGTAGCCACAACTAGTCTCTATGGCCAGAGCATGAAAAGCAGGAAGTGGAGGGAGATAACACCAATCCGGCAGTGGGGACTTCAGCCTAGACAGCGGCAAGGCACTGGGGGCTTATGGCTGGGAGACTGCATGAATGGCATTCTATACTGGACACATCACCCAAGCAGCAATGTGGAGACCAGATTTTGGAGGGAACATGCGGAGTGAAGGGCCAGGACAAGGAGGGCAGTCCAATGGCTACAACAGTCCTGACTACAGTCCATGTGGCCCTGAGCCAGGACCCAGAAGGGCAAGATGCTGGGCAAGTCGTAGAGAAGGCCACCGCCAAGCCCAGCACTGCACTAAGCACTAGGGATGCAGTGCAGGTGGGAGGGCACGTTCTAGCGAGGACCCAGAGCTGGGCCCAGAGGCAGGTCACCTTCAGGAGGTGGACAGGACGAGCCCTGGGGGCACCTGGACAGGGAGTGGAGAAGGGACGCCTCCGAGCACAGAGGGCGCCAAGCAATGAGTCCCGAGCCACAGGAAGTGAGGTCGATCTGGATTCTGCACAGGGTCTCCAGCCACAGAGGAAGTCAGAGTTTACCCTCCTGCATGCTCAGTTCCCGTGTCTTCCTCTGTGACAACAGCACAGTGACCTCACAGAGGGAAGGGCCGGGCTGCGATGGACATGGTTTCCCGGTCATTTTGAAGCAGGTTAAAGAGGGCTCTTACCAGGGAAATGACTGTCTCCTCCTCCCTGCATCTCATCTGTAACCTCTGATAACAGGTCTCAGGGGTGGTCCGGAGATAAACTGAAATTAAAAAAAATCATACATGGTTCTAATTACTCTGGTCATGGCTTGGAAGTCAAAGCCGAGGGGAGGGGGAAGGAAGGTGTGTGGGCAAGACGTGGAGAGAAACATCCGCCAGCAGCTCTGAGCAGAAGACACAGACCACAGCCAGCTCACAGCCCAACCACTAACCAGCTGTGTGGCCTGACAGGCATCTTGACCCTCATCCCAACTTTAATTTTCCTTCCATGTCACCAGCCCCACAGGGTTGTTCTGAGGCTGAATGAGCTTCCATGCATACACAAAGCTTAGCACAGGGTCTGGCACAATGGGTCTCAGTAAATGTCCAGATCCTGTCCCTCCTCCTTCTCACATAAACTAGAAAAAACAACATCAAATCACAATGGACCAGGGGAGAGCAGCTTGAGTAACAAAGCCCAGGGAGGGTGCTTCTATAGGAGGAACCAAAATGCCCCCAGATTCTGTCTGCCGTTGGACAGAAGGCTGAATTGGTGTGGGAAAAGAATCACCAGTGGTTAGGGCCCCGCCCACCGTCCCTGCTGGTTGGTGGTCCAGCCAAGTGCGTCCTCACTGGGGGAGGAAGGTCGGGAGGGGCCTCTCACCTATCAAATCAATGGACACGTCGATGTTCCTCACAATCCAATCAAACCATTCTGCCAGAATCACATAGTCCACTTCAGGCATCTTCCCACTATAATGAGAGTTATTAGGGTTTTATTCATCAGAAGGACCTGTGGATGGCTTCCGTATAAAGGGCATGACCCAGGGCACAATGGTATACCGCGATCCATGTGATATTGGGCCCGAAACACCTCGGACCCTCCACCGCTGGGGGACAGCTTATGGTCTAATGCAGCAAGAGTCATGGAACTGTTCGATGGGAGAGCTCATTTGGAATCTGAACTACAGGCAGAGAAAGGGACTCTGAAGCCTGTCCCCAGAGAACAGGGATAGCACTCAGTTTGGAAGGTGGAGCAGCAAATCAGTTCCACCTCTAGAAGTTTATTTTGTGGAAATAATCATGGATCTCCACCACAGCACCCCCTAAAACAATGAAAAGCGAAACCTTGGCCCATTGACAGAACAGCAAACCATGCAGTGACTGAAAGACAACATGGTAAAATAATACTTAATGACATGGAAAATGCTCACAATCGAATGTTCCATGAGAACAGCAGGACAAAAAACTGTATATAGTGTGACCCAACTGTATTTTCACAAGAATCCGTTCACATATTATGAAAAAAGACTGGGAAGAAAAACAGCAAAATGCATACAGTGCTTTTTTCTCTGAGCTGTGGGACCAGAGGGGACTTTGTTTTCTTTCTACCTTTCTGTATTTTCCAAAATCAGCAACATATTCGTTCTCAAATCAAGGGTTGGGTGGAGGGGAAATAACTACATATTTAAAATGTGAACTGAAAAAGGAAGGAAGGAAGGAAGAATTCAAGACAACAGTCTAAGCATCCACGAGGCCTGGCGTCTCTCCCCGGCTCCAGCGGGTTTCCCGCGCCCCAAGAGGAAACCAACGGGAAGAGACAGAGGAATGGCAGCTAGAGGACACAGGCCTGTCAAAGGCCAGGTGATCTGCCAAGGCCCAGGGGGGGAATTCTCCCTTGTAACACCCCACCTACCATCTTGGATCCACTCAGAACAGGGTCTGGAAGGACCGGCTACAGGAAAATGGTCGTGCCTGGGCCCCAGGGTGCACAGGGGGCTCCTCGTTGCCCATGAACGGTGGGGGCAAGAGAAGAGCCCAGTGGAAGGGCGGTCTAGAGCTGGCCCCCTGCCAGGTGCTGTGAATGGACTCCCACCTGATGGGGAAGAGGGATGCAGGGATGGGCATGGACAGAGAGAAGAGCTCAGACAGTTGGAGGGGGGTGCTCTGGGGGACGAAGGGCACAAACGACAGGGCATGGCACAAACTGGACAGGGACACTGCCCCTAGTGCCTGAGACACCATGATATCCTCAGGGGAGAACAGCTAGCTGTGCCTGGGCCGAGCAGCAGGAAAGTGTACGGTGCCTGAGAGAACAGTGGGGGCAGAGGGGCAGCTGCCGGTGCCTTAGGTCTTCAGGCATCAGATCTCAGCCAGGAGACCTGATTAACATGCGAGGGCTCTTGGAATGAGTGGGTGGAGGAGGGTGGTTGGAAGAAGTCCCACAACACTGCAGAGAGGACCCGAGCCAATGCAATCCAGGAACTAAAGGTAATGACTTTGTGACCACAGGCTGGTATGGTGTGAGGACAGGTGGCTGTCTCTTCTCTTATGTCCTTATAGCCCATTATTGGGGTGCCTGGGTGGCTCAGTTGGTTAAGCATCCGACTTCAGCTTGGGTCATGATCTCACCACCTGTGAGTTCAAGTCCCACATCAGGCTCTTTGCTGACAGCTCAGAGTCTGGAGCCTGCTTCAGATTCTGTGTCTCCCTCTTCCTCTGCCCCTCCCCTGCTCATGCTCTGTCTCTCTCAAAATTAAGTAAACATTTAAAAAACAAATTAAACAAAAATGAACTACTGGGACCTCATCAAAATAAAAAGCTTTTGCACAGCGAAGGAAACAATCAGCAAAACTAAAAGGCAACCAATGGAATGGGAAAAGATATTTGCAAATGACATATCAGATAAAGAGTTGGTATCCAAAGTCTATAAAGAACTTATCAAACTCAACACCCAAAAAAACAAATAATCCAGGGAAGAAATGAGCAAAAGTCATGAGTAGACACTTCTCCAAAGAAGACATCCAGATGGCTAACCAACACATGAGAAAATGCTTAACATCACTCATCATCAGGGAAATACAAATCAAAACCACAATGAGATACCACCTCACACCTGTCAGAATGGCTAATGTTAACAACTCAGGCAACCACAGATGTTGGCGTGGATGTGGAGAAAGAGGATCTCTTTTGCACTGTTGGTGGGAATGCAAGCTGGTGCAGCCACTCTGGAAAACAGTATGGAGGTTCCTCAAAAAATTAAAAATAGAACTACCCTACGACCCAGCAATTGCACTACTAGGCATTTATCCAAGGGATACAGGTGTGCTGTTTCAAAGGGGAACATGCACCCCCATGTTTATAGCAGCACTGTCAACAATAGCCAAAGTATGGAAAGAGCCCAAATGTCCATCGATGGATGAATGGATAAAGAAGATGCGGTATATGTACCCAATGGAGTATTACTCGGCAATCAAAAAGAATGAAATCTTGCCATTTGCAACTATGTGGATGGGACTGGAGGGTATTATGCTAAGTGAAATTAGTCAGAGAAAGACAAAAATCATATGACTTCACTCACATGAGGACTTTAAGAGACAAAACAGATGAACATAAGGGACGGAAAGCAAAAATAATATCAAAACAGGGAGGGGGACAAAACAGAAGAGACTCATAAATATGGAGAACAAACTGAGGGTTACTGGAGGGGTTGTGGGAGGGGGGGATGGGCTAAATGGGTAAGGGGCATTAAGGAATCTACTCCTGAAATCATTGTTGCACTATATACTAACTAGTTTGGACGTAAATTTGAAAAAACAAAAAATAAAAGTAAAAAATAAAATTAAAAATAAAAAACATTAAAAAAAAACTTAAAAATAAAAAAGTAGCCCATTATTCAGGTCTGAGTGTTCCAGGGAAACCTGACCCCACCCCAAGCTTCTGGGGAGGCCCAGTTGGTCTAAGGGAAGTACTGTCCTCTCACAAGCTGCACCAATCAGTACAAGGCATCCCCTGGCCACACGGGCCCAGCCTGGGCCAGTGAGACATGAGGGAGGCCTGCAGGGGTTGATAGAAACCATGCTTTCTCACACTCAGAGGAAAGCCACTGGCAAGACACCTACTCTGGCTAGCAAGTGAGAAACCTGGTTCTGCCACAGCCATTTCGTCACCATGGAGGAATCATATTGAGGATATGAATGAGACACAAGAGTAGGAAAACAAAGCTGGAGCCACTGAATGAAACCAACCCTGCCTGCCATTAAGATAACCACTAATGCCCTCATCCTTCAGGTTACTTGGAGCTGGGTTTCAGTTAGTCGCAGCTCAGAGTATCTGATTTCAGGAAACCAAACCACTCTCTCTTCATGTGTTTTCCTTCACTGGGAAACAAAGTTTCGTTGTCCAGAACAAAATTGACTCTGAGGGAATGAGGGTTTCCCGAAAGCAAGCTGCTAATCCGCCCCTCCCCTTCTCCACTAAAACACAGACCAAATAGCCTGAAGGCACAGAACAGACTAGCAACATAGGGCTGTGGACTAGTGAGCGGGGCCAGAGGCAGAACTGCCCAGTGCCTCCCAAGTCACTGATGCTTGCTGGACAGTCAGGTGTCATACTTTGCCCTGCAGAACTTCACATGTGTCTGCAAGGCTCAAGGCAGATTTTGCCAAATCCCAGAGCTGGGAAGATCCCGGAAGCTGGAACTGCTGAATTGAGTCACCATGCAGAACACATGCAGCACAGTGTTAACTGAAAAACCAGACCAACACTACCAGAAAAAAGGGTCAGGATGTGCATGGAAGGACGCAGAGACATGGGGATGGGGCTCACATCTGCGGGAGTCTCTGGAGCCTGCCTGAGAGCCACTATTCCCCTGGAAATCAGTTCCAGATAATCTCAGGATACTTCCTGAGGGGCACAGGGACCTCCTGGTCCCACCCCAACCCAGCCCAAACTGGCAGCTTCCCCCACAGACAGGACGAAGGATATCCCTTTCCAGCGCTCTCCTGGAGAGGTCCTCCGTGGGGGCAGCCTCCCTGCCAGCCGGGTTGGCAGGAAGACCTCCAGGAAACCCTTCCGGGATTGCTGGGAGCACTGTGCTAGGGGGTCCAGGACAACCTGTCACTGGCTACGCTGAGTGAGGAAACGGAGGCCTGATTTCGGTGACTCTGAGGAATGTCAGACAGCAGGTGCTGCTTTATCCATATTCGCGGTTTTCCTCCTGGAAATTCTGCCTGGCTCTGGGGCGCCTGGGTGGCGCAGTCGGTTAAGCGTCCGACTTCAGCCAGGTCACGATCTCGCGGTCCGTGAGTTCGAGCCCCGCGTCGGGCTCTGGGCTGATGGCTCAGAGCCTGGAGCCTGTTTCCGATTCTGTGTCTCCCTCTCTCTCTGCCCCTCCCCTGTTCATGCTCTGTCTCTCTCTGTCCCAAAAATAAATAAACGTTGAAAAAAATTTAAAAAAAAAAAAAAAAATAAAAGAAATTCTGCCTGGCTCCTCCTGTGTCTGCCTCTAGATTGGGGCACCCAGCACCACCAATAAGCCACTGTTTTAATTTTTTTTTAATTTTTTAAAAAATGCTTATTTATTTTTGAAGGAGAGAGACAGATAGACAGAGCATGAGTGGGGCAGGGGCAGAGAGAAGCAGACACAGAATCCAAAGCAGGCTCCGGGTTCTGAGGTGTTAGCACAGAGCACGACGTGAGTCTCAAATTCACGAACTGCAAGATCATGACCTGAGCCAAAGTCAGACACTTAACCGACTAAGCCACTCAGGTGCCCCAAGCCACTGCTTTTATTTCCACAGAACACACAGTGGGCGGCGCCTCTCTACAGAAAATTCAACCACTTGACTCCCCAACAGTGGAATGGGTGGAATGAGAGGATTTCGTGGTGCCGTCCCCTTACCCAGGGTGGCAAAACCGAGGTCTTGGATCCACACGAATCCTGCTGGCTGTTTTGCTTGGCACAGTTTGCT